GGGGGGTGGTGGTGTCGCAAATGAGTCAGATTTGGTGTCGCAAATGAGTCCCTTGCCTGATGAATGGCCACGAGTCATTTTGTGTGTCTCTTGATTTTGGCCTGCCGCCTTCCTCAAACCGCTGCTCAGGCTCTCCCTCTTAACGCATCCAGACAAAAACCCTCATGAGGAGGCAGCTGCTGCTGGGAGCTTACTTGGCCACACAGACAGCATTCTCAAGGTTTCTCACCAGAGAAGCCCTGTTTTCAGACCGCCTGCGGCAGTTCGACGAAAAGCGAGCTGACCTGCCGCTGACCTGCCGTTGTTCTCGGAGCTAGTTTCGTTCGCCCCTGAAGACCTAGACCCGACACCCAGCGGCCAAGGCCTTTCGCAAGCTCTCTGAGAGTATGAGGCGAGGCCGATTTTGGAGATTGCTCTTCCTTCGGACGGACGCGCATGGAATGTTCAATTCCACCCCAAACAGATCCAAAAAGTATCCGAAAGAAGAAGTTATAACTTCTAATCCAAACCTTTCGAGCCGTTGAAAGACGTTTTTGGGGTCACATGTTTTTTTTCGTTTTAATGTTGGCAGAAGCTGGACCCCCCAAAAGGGGTCTTGTGCCTCAGAGGCATTTCTCTGCCTTCCAATATTTAATTAGTCACGAAAGCTAGCATCAGCTAGCTGGATTTGTCCTATGTTGTCCTTGCTTTGGCAAGTGAGGGGCTGGAATCCTCGAGATCGCCGCATCACGTGAAAACTTCATATGTAGAGGCCCCCCCCCGGGTTCAACTCCCCCCTGGGACGCCTCCACTTTGGTGCAACAGATTCAACAGATTCACAAGCTAAGGTTGGCTGTGTCATTGCTGTCCGTGTGTCTTACATGTTCACAACGTTTTACCTCATGAGCGAGACCTTGTGAACCATCCCTCCAACAGCCCCATGCCTATGAAAAAAGAATTGCCTCACTCCGCTTGATGTCCCACCAATCCTTTGTCACTGGACGGCGCTGTATGCTTCGCCTCCACTGACACGGATGCATCCCTGCTAGCTTTCGACACCTACCCTCGGCCTCAAGCTGAACTCAAGGACTTTTTCAGACCACCATTGGTGGCAGCGAGTACGAAAACATGTTCACCTGAACATCGCAGGGTTCTTTTTGGAGGCCACCGTTGTCAAACGTGCACGAGTTCGGGCTCCGATCTTCGCCCCCCCCCATCCGTTCGTTCTTCCGAGGACTCTGACCACGGATGGAGGACAGGAAGAGCTACTGCGCCCTGGCAGATGGGTTTGAACATGGAAGAAATGGGCTTGGAGAGGGCATCGCTACAAACGGAGCAAGAAGCTACTAGGGGCGCTCCTGGCCTTACTACTAGGAGCAAGAGGACGCTACGAGCGGAACAAAGGGCATCGCTACTAGTAACACTGGAGGTTTAAGGCTCCAGGAAGGGCGAACGCCATTTTGAATCAGGTTTTTCGTCTGTCCGAGATGGAACATCCGCACTTCCCCCCCTCCGCTTCGGCATCCGATTCCCCGTTCAGGGGCCCTTCTTCTTTGTGAGCAGCAGTTCACTTCGACTTCTGAAGCCATCTGAAGCCGGACAAACAATGGACGAAGCTCCTTCTCTTTGGTTCTTCGGATTAGACCCTTGTTACTAGTTACTAGTAGCTTCTTGTTACTAGTAGCGATGGCCTCCACCCTAGTAGCGATGGCCTCCACCCTAGTAGCGATGGCCTCCAACCTAGTAGCTTCTTGTTAGTAGTAGTAACACCCTTGTTACTAGTAGCGATGCACTTGCCGGCATTTGGGAACGAGAAGACGTGCTCCTGGTCTCTCTTCGGATTCGTCCCGTTTTGGAGGATTGGTCTGTTTTCTGTTTGGGAATTGCCTTGTTTCTCGGTGGAGACTCGCTGGTCATCCAGCCGTTCAAACCAACGTGCTCTCGGTCCATTCGTGTAGATTTTCCGGCACCGAACATGGCCAGCGCGGCTGCCTTTTGGGACAGCTGCTGGTGTTCAAAAGGTAACCATCGCTCTGTTCGCTGTGGGCTGTGCTCCACTCAAAGCCCAACAGTGTCACCGATTAGATTGAGACTTTTGAAGAGGATTTCATTCCACAGGGTGCAAACTGCAATGATAGAAACGAATCCATGATTTCACACTCCAAGTTGCTGGGGGTCTGTACCGGTTGACGTGGTTCATTCTTGAGGGCACAAGCACTAGTAACTAGTAGCCGTAGCATAATTCTGGTGTTTTTGATCTGTGTACGGACTCTTGCGGCAAGTGATAGCTGCAAACAATCGCTCCAGGGAAAGCCTCTTCCCATCATCGCCGCCTCCGGAGCCAGGGGCCCAACTGGATGGAAGGGAGTGGATGTCGCAGAGAATCAACAAGGGCAAAACACGGAGTTGGGTTAACACATATTGGCCCAAAACTGCGCGTTGCTGACATCCCCAGTAGTTTTTGTCTCTCTCTCTCTCTCTCGTACTTAGAAGAAGAAAGAAGAAGAAGAAGAAGAAGAAGAATAAGAAGCAGAAGGAAAGAAAAATAGAAATAAGACTACTTGATAGAGAACTTTGGCAAGCTAGCAGGGTTGCCCATGCCGAGAAGTCTTCCGCAGCGCAAACATTTTCCAAACAGAGTTCCTTACCAGAACAAGAACCCAGAGCAAACACACCTTTGCAAGCTATGTTGTAACATTCTGAAGTAGACGTAGCAGTAGATGAGATTCACAGCCATATAGAAACGCAATAGACCATGGTGAAATGGTGACCAACCTGATTGGACACCTGTTTTCACCAAACTGATTGGACCTCTTTGACTCCGGTCCGTTTCTGCAGCCAGGGCTCGGCTCCAGAGAGATGTTCAAGTGACTTCTAGTCTCCCAAAGACTCGTTTCGATTCATGTTGAAGAACTTCTGCAGCTGCCCATGATTTCTTCTTCTTCTTCTTCTCCACTCCCAAGGTCTTTTCCGCGTCGCCACGGTTTTTCGCTCCATCCTCCAAAACCCTCGCTCCACTCCGAACCCAGACGGAGCGACGCACGGGCCACGCCGTGGCCATCGCCCGTGTTGGGCACCGGATGTCGACGCGATGAGTGCCTACTACACGGAGAGGCGGCGACCCAAAGGCGATGCCAGGCAGGGTCGGTGGACCGGTGGGTTGGAAGAGGTGGTTTTCTGCCATGGAAAGTGGTGGAAAGAAAGATGTTGGTTTGGAACCTGAGTAGATGAGGGGCTGCTTCGTCCAAAAACCCGATGGTAGGTTTCTCATTTTGCGTCCCCTTCACACGTTGTCCTGAGCCTCCTCAAGTCATGTACTCGTACCTGAAGAAATTTCAATCTTGCCCAAACACGTCTTCTTTTGAGTTTGAGTGCTCTGTGCTGATGCACATCAGTCTTGTTTTTGGATATCCACATCAGTGTCGTCACATTCATCAGTGTCGTCATAGCTACCTTAGCCTGGCTCATGACTTGTGGCAGAGGGCTGGACTGGCTCCAGGCAGCCTCCAATAGATTCAGTGTTTCAGGTTGTGGACGGGAGAAGGGCTGGAGAGAGAAGCCTAAGGGCCTAGCACCTCTCTGCAGCTGCCTAAAATGGGGTTGTCTTTTTGAGGTGAGAAGGTCTGGAGGCTCTGACTTCTGGAGATGTAGTTTTGATCCAAGTCACTCGACTTGGTCAGCTAGAAGGTGCGACGTGTGCGGCGTGCTTGGACCGATGGGACGGGTGGAACAGGTTGGCTTCGATCCTCGAGCTGCTCGGGCGCTTGGATGCCAGTGGAACTGGAACCTCGACCGATGTGGCCTTCTGGATGGGAGGAAAGCGTCATGCTTTTCATGTATCTGGGGGGTACCGTGGGGTACCCTCCTTTTGAGCCACAGCGTTTGGATGCCACATGATTTCACTGTATGATTGCACTGTCCAACATGGCCAACAAACCAACAAAATGATGTTTAGGAAGTTGAAGTTGCACTGGACACCTTTGCTGTATCGCAAAATCAAGGCCCATGGTTCAGACATGTCAATGTGGATCAGGGGACACGGATTTTAGGAATTTGATGGAATTTGATCCGTCCATATGGTGAGAAGAACGTGTTTTGCCTTAGCATGTCGCCCCCGACATGTGTATGATTCTCCTTTCGAACAAAAAACATCGCTCAACATGTGTTTTTTTTTCGTGATCCCAACCACTTGGAGAACCTGGAGCGAACACCTTTCGACAACAACGTCGTCGTTTTTCTCTTCGAGGGCTCCTGCAGCGCCAGCGCTTGGTGGCCTTGATCTCTAGCTTGGTTCCTGAGATGACCCCGCAGTCCATTGACTTGCACCTTGGTCGCGACAGCTCACACGTCAGACGCACGGTCGCTGGGAAAACCGTCTTCGCAGTAGTCCAGAAAATGTCTGTCAGTTGCCTTACTTTTCAATGCAGTTTTAGTTCACAGCCTAGGGCCTAGAGTTCACTGTTCCGGTGCATCCAAAAGCTTTCAAATGAAACTCTCCATTCCCCAAAAGATGACCTTGGTTTTGCCTCCAGGCTGATGGACAGCAGTATGCATGCTGACCAGGCGCCCGACCAAGTGACAAATTGAATACTGTAAGTTTCAAGGGTGGAGATACAGTTTGTTCTGAGACACGTAGGCTTCGCAGACTGCGTCACATAAAGGGATGCCAATAATGTAGAACCAGAAGAAATGTTGCAGGGAATCTTCTGATCGAACAACAGCACATCTGTTCTGCTACTGGACGTTTTTGCCGTGAATGATTCCAAAAACAACTCTTCTTGAAACTAGTGTCAGCATAGAGTGCGTTGGCGGCCACTGTCCCAAGTTGGCGAAAGGTTTGGTTGATGTTATCATGGCAAACTCTGAGCAGAAGTCAGGTGGAGATGGTGGAGGTGTGTTTTTCTGTCTTTTTTTCTCAGATTGGACGCGTGCAGTAAATACATAGTGAAAGAACATCAAGTATAGTGGGCACAGCTGCAAGCTGGACCCAAGGAATGGTGTCCGCTCTGCCCAGTACGGCTACCGAAAGCTCCACCGGTCACCGGCCTCCCCGGCCTCTTTCCGGACACAAACCAGTTCACCAACGCAACGAAGACGATGAAGCATCGGTCCGCACTCCGTGCGTAAAGGACCGTTTGGAGGGCGACCCTTTGAGTGGGACCTGAAAAGCCTGTGAGATCTTTGCAAATTTGCGTATATACTGCGCCCAGTTTCCGCGCTTGTCGCATAAGTTCTGGGGATAGGTGGGCAGTGTCCAAATTGGTGGAACATCAGGTGTTTTGATTTTGACACCGTTGCAAAGGAATTGTTTCCAAACAGGCTGACATATACATCCATTACATACTCAGTACATAGCAGTGCACATTTAGATATGGCATATGGCTCAAAAATACATAAGACATTCCAGCATTTCACCTAATTATGCCTACTACTGGATGGCAAGCCACCTCAATGCTCACCTAGTGGGAAACTCAAATCTTATTTTTTAAAATCTGAATTCATTTTTCAAACATGAAGTTAATCAAGAGATCTCAGATCTTTTAACATTTATATCTTTCTATCTCTCTCTGATAGTAACGTTTTCATACGTTTCCATGTATCCATATATGTATATATATGCTGGTGTATTTACAGTACACAGTTTGTGTATATACTGTAATGCATACATATATGTACAAACAATAGTATATATATATATATATGTATACATAGGTTATAGACATATACATATACACATATGTATTTGTTTACTGCTTCGCAGCCTGGCCACCAGGTGAATGTGAGGTATTCGGACTTCCTCGCATGGCTCTTCGAGGGTCTCGGACGGGCCGGGCCGTCGCTCCCGGGCGCCATCTCTGTGGCCACCTGGAATGTGGCAGCAGCGCCTGGGCTCTAGTTGGAGCGGCACATGGGCACACGGGTTTCCTGGGAGTCTGCAGGACGTCCCGCTCTGAAGGGTGAATATTTTTTAAATATAAATCCTTTGGGTGAAATTTAGGGCTTTTGATGTGCCTTTTCTTTATATGTATATATATATATATATATATTTTTTTTCTTTTGGAGGGACAATTCAAAAAAGCGGTGAACTCTCAAGGAATTGGGTGACCTGGCCTTTTTGAGACAAGGAATTGGCACATGTCTTGACCAAGGGCAATTCTGGGAGACGCGCAGAGTCAGGGTTGTTGAGTCGTTGATGAGTGCTTCTCTTGTCCTCAAAAACCCAACGGCACCGAAGCGCGCACTCCCCAAAAAGGTAAATCGCCTCGCTGGATGAACCGACGAACCGAGGGATCCCGGTTTTTCCTGGGTTCCAGGTGGTTCCATGGGTTTCAGAGCCGAGCCGAAGTCTCCTTTGAACTCAGAATGATCAGAATGTACATCATCAGAGGTTGTATTTTGGCATCAATAAATCAATATAAGTTAATTAGATTTTTTGCAATGTTGTGTCCAGGATCCCATAGCTTTTGTAACAGGGGTTCCACAGGTATTGATTGCCATACCCAGAATATTTGGGTATGGCCTGGGGTTTCACAGGTTCTTGCCATGTCTCCCGTACCATTCACGTTCGACAGGCTACAGATTCTGCACTAGCATCCTAGTGTTTCATTGGTCTGACTGAGGATGCGGAGTGTTTAACCATGGCCGAGTTGGAGTGGTGGATGCAGAACAAAATGGGACCAACATACTGTAACACTTTATTGTTGGAGTGACAGAGTGACATCAACTTTGGGTGCGGCACTGGTGCATTGCGATCTTGAGAACAAGGTCACCTTGTCCATGAGAGACGTTATTGTGATGTACCCAGAGTAGCTTGAACAAGCTTAACCTATCAGCATCAAAGCTGGACTTAGGTGAACAACAACCCATTTGAATATTGGCTGGCGCACGATGATCCGTGTTGCTTGGCAGCCAACGCGACCGCTTGGGTGGCCTTATGGTTGGGTCTGTTTGCGGTTCAGATCAATCAAGTCCTGAAGAGCGCCAAAGCGCTGGGTTCGTTCTGCCAATCACTCCCAAGCACTCTGAAAGACCATCCGGATCATTTCGTTTCATCTCTTTCATCTCATTACAGATGGCAACCATTTTTTTGAGTTGCGCCTTTTGAACCATCTCATTTGAAACCGGACCGTCTTCGTCGTTGGTCATTTTCGACCGAATTTCGGGTCGAGGCTACGTGAATCTGATGGTGGCCATCGAGACCTGCCTCTCATCGCCTTCCCCTTCGTGGGATGTGCCTGTGCGTCTCTTGGATGGGATCATCACCTGGCCATTTGGAGGCTAGCCTCCAACAGAGGATCGCCAGCGGAGGTCCGAGCATTTGGAGGATCAGATGCCTTGAAAAGGTTTGTTTGGCCGGTTTGGGCGGGCGTTGTTCCCGCTCTTTTGGACGTTGAATGGATACGACCCACAAGGCGTTCCAAGATGCTCCAAGGCTCTAAAATATGGTCCTGAGTCCTGACGTAGCAAAATCAAGCTGAAAGGTCTGACAAATTGGATGTCTGGTCACTTCGACCACCGCGACCTTCCTGAAAAAAGGAGCACCGCCTTCGGCTCGCGGCTTCACGAACTCGTGCAGAGGTGAGATCTTCACAGAGGGGATGTTCCAAGAGTTGAAGGCAGGGTGGATGTAGAACATGTGAGATGATGGTCCTGACCAGTCCTGCGATGGATGAACTCCGCTCAAATCGTTGTTGTAAGAACAGAGCAGAGTGAACGTGTCAGGGACTGACATCAGCGGTCTCACTTGCAGCCGTGATGTTTTTGTGGATGCAAAACACGGGGTTCGCTAGGCTATGGTAGACTTGAAATGGCTTGATTGTTGTCTTTTGGATCTTGAATGGTCTGGAATTCACACCCAGTTCAGAGAAACCACCGCTGACAGGCTCTCATGTTGGAGCACGACATTGCTGGAGTGGAAGAGGTGGAGGCTTGGACGTCCTCCACGGCCTTCATCCCGAAGTCGGTGATGCGCGTGTGCGTATACTCTCCGCACCGGGAGGTAGTCGCTGCGCAGAGGGGCCATATATACCCCAGGTTGGAACTTCGCAGCCCAAGATTTACCACATGGCCTTTTTTTGCGTTTCTTTTTTCCATTATTTTTGTTCTGCAGGAGTCGATGTGGCGAGAAGATCTGCAAAAACGCCGTGTGGTGCCATGGACGCGTTGGCGAAGGCTCAGAGAGTTGGGGGGTCCAGAAGACCAAGTCTTCGTTGACGTCGTTCGTTGCACACGTCAGTCGTTCACATCATGGGCTGGCAAAGCTGCCGCAGTAATTCCCACTTCCGATCAAAAGGGATACAAGAAGACGCACGCGGACGTGAAGAAGCGAAGAACGCGGACGAGGTCCTTTTTAGACCCCAAGGCTGCGAAAGTCAAGTGGCCTCCATGGGCCCCGACAGGAAGACCCTGTTGCGACCGGGTTCCCAAACACAGGACGTCCCCGCCTTCTTCGCTGTTCTTTTCATCGAAGCGGACGGAGTTTCGGCACCCGGCTCGAAAAGACCGGCTGTCCTGACCGCTGTTCCTTTTATAACGCTCCGAGAAGCTTCTTCTCCGGGGGTCAAGAATGATATCAGTGATATCAGTTGATATCAGTTGATTCCCAGAAGGCAACGCAGTTTTCGCGCGTTCTTTTTATTGTCGTTTTTATTCTTGCTGGTGCTTTGCCATCCTTGGGGGTTCGCTTCCAGCCTAGCGACGCCTCATTCTCAGTTTCAGGAGAGGGAGGGTGAGCTCCACAGCGTCCACTGAGGTGTCAGAGTTCATCAAAGACAAGTCCTTGGGCTCCAAGCGTCTCATCTCCATGCCGGACCGCATCACCAACACGCGACTCGGCGGCGGCGTGAGGCAGGCTTGAAGCCGAGAATCCTTTTGGAAGGCTCATCAGAGGGAAGCCTGAAGGGAAGCCTCCTGAGAATCGGAAGATCATCTTGGTGACGGAAATTGATGGTGAAAATCATCTAAAACATCCAAACACCATCTCCTTCGCAGTTTGAGGTTCTCGTTTTGGGTCCCCTTTTTACAGGGGTCCGTCAGGCCATCGGTCTGAAAAAACGCCGCAGTCACCGCCTGGCTGGCCAAACGACACCGTCCGCTGGTGGACGACGGCCCTCGGCGACCAAGGGTGCAAGTGGTGACCCGGGCGGCGAGCGAGTACAAGCCGCCGCCGGCCTGTCGACCCACGGTCGCTTGGAACCGGCGTCCCGCGACCGGTCGCCAGCGGAAGATGGATTCGCACGAAGAGCGCGCTGGTTCGCACGAAGAGGATGGGGTGTGGGTGATCAGAAGAGGTCAAAGCAGGTTGGTCAGTCGTTCAGACCAAAAGCCATTGGGTTGGGGAGAGAACTTCGACTTGAGGACAGGACTGGCACAGACTCAAGGGGTTTTGTCTTACTTCCATTGAACACCAGTGATGAGGGGATGCCCTACACTGGACCTACTGTTCGGGGAGAAGCGCTATGCGTGGTGCGCCCGGCCTGGGCTTCAGCGCTATGTTTGGTTGAGCTAGGGTGGGTGTGTAATAAAAGCAGAGAGACCTGTGCACTAAACAAACCCAGACAAGTCGACCCGCCAGGGGCGACCCAAACAAGTCTCCCTATGATGTCATACACACCCAGTTGCGTGGTTGTCCTGCACTGCAGGGAAGGCAGATTTTCTCCTTCCAACCTGGCAACTTAGGTCATCAACAACTACCTGGGCCCCTCGGTCGCAGAGGACATTTGGAGACCACATAAGAATCTGCTATGGTACCCCCCCAAAACCAACACTTTAAAAAAGGGGAGGTGGGGGTATCAACAAATCTGAATCTGCAATGTGCATGTGGCATCTGATCAAATACTAAATGAACATCATCCCACATTTGATCAAATATATATATATATTATATATATGATATGAGGTATAAACTATATATTGTTTTTTGAGCCTGCCAAGGAATTTGCAATTTTTGGTTTGCTCGACCTTGCAAATTCACTAGCAGCCTCAACAAAAAAATCAAAAGCCCATAGTCACAAAACCCTGACAGGCTAAGTTTTTAGGATCTATGGGGACTCTGGGGGGTGGCATTTTTTTTTTAATTTTTTGAGCCTGCCAGTGTTTTTGCAAGGTGGGGTAGACCAAACATTGCAAGTTCCTTGACAAGCTCAAAATAATCAAAGAATTATACCCCCCCAAAAGCCCCTATAGATGCTAGAACTTATGTTTTTGTTTTTGTTTTTTGAGCCTGCCAGTGTTTTGTGATGTTTTGTGACTATGGGCTTTTGACATTTTTGTTTTTTTTGAGCCTGCCGAGAAATTTGAAACCTCTGCTCCATTTGGCCTAGCAAATTCTTCGGCATGTTGACAAGATACAAATATCTACGATTGCTACGTTCATGGTTTCAGCTCATGCCCTGCAGTGTTGTACCATCTGAAATCAAGGACAACTCTCACATACAAGCAAGAAATTTGTCTGAAAACGTTGTTTCTTTTTTTGGGGGGGCTAGCATGTATATATATTTGTATGTATTAAAAGTTTAATCACCGAACATGGCGTTTTAGATCAAGTAGTCTCAAGGGGCAAAATTACCTCTTTGTAGTTGGCACTAGATGGTAGACAGATGTAGACAGTGAGAGCAAGGATCTCTGGCTCGAGGAACGCCTTCTTTAGTGAAGTTGTTGAGGAACATATTTGCACCAAGTGTGAGAAAAGAAACAAAGAGACTCGGCCGGGTCGACTCGACTTGAGCCGGGCAAAGCCGCAGAGCACCCAAGAACCAGGGCGGGCTGCTTGACCGTGCTTTGAAAAACACAGCCTGACCGACCTCATTTTGGACCAACCACCCCAAAGATGTTTTTTTCCTATCAAAACATAGATCACTCCAAAACAGGAGTCAGAGTCACTCAGATCGTGAAGCTGCATAAAATAAAGCACCGAACAAGGGTGGCTTACGGCCTGGCCGTCGCTGAGGTGATTTGTCAACCCTGGAAGTCTGGTGGGACTCCTGGAAGAGGTTCGGCACCCGAAGAAAGGGACCGTCCACCCTGGGACGGTCGGGCAGGGGTCTCATGAATGGTGAGGGGTCTCATGAAATGCATGTGCTGCATCGGCTTCGACTCATGGATGATTGAGTTGTGTTTTGTGCTGCATAGGTACCTGCAACTTGATTGAAGGGTTTTGACTGAGAAAAGAGCATGCGCTCTGAACTTTGAACTCCTGTGGTGGATGAAAGGTTGGGCAGGTAGCGGCTGGTCCTGTACCTTCGTTCCGCGCTTCGCGAGAAGAACGTGAACGATGTGTCAAGCAAAACGGGAACCCAAGATCCTGGTTACAGGAGAAATACGTTCAGTTCACTCATTTCTTTTCAATCTCACTATCGGAAGGTCAGTCCCAGTATTCTGCCTATAGAAAAGGAATTGCTGCACCCAGTCGACTCAGTCCAACGCATGGGGTTTGAGGCTGTTATCGTACCAAACTCTCGATGTCCACGTCTCTCGTCTCACACGTCCCTCCGTGGACCGTTGGGTACCTGAAGCCGCTCGCCGTAGCGATGCGGCGATGGTCTTGTCTGCAGGTTTATGTTCTGCCAGCCTTTGGCAGTGAGGCCAGAGGGGGGGTGGCCTCCAGTTGCGTGATGATCCATCTATGATTTTGGCAAAGCCACCAATTGGATGGAGTTGATTTACAGCCTTCCTTTTGTGGTGTCCAAGCACTTCCCCAACCCTGTTTTGGACCCCAAACGCCATGCCCTCCGTCACGCCGCCCATGAGCCAGTCTCGCTCCCCAACCGCCTCCTCCGTCACGCCATGGCGACGCCGTCGCGTTCATCTGGGTGTCAGGAGCCACCAGGGCATCTCCGTTCGTTTGCCCTGCCACATGCTGGAGCCAATCCCACGGAGTCCCTTGGAGCGATCCACCGGTGCGGGATGGCGCCGATTGGTGGCGGGAGTGGCGGGAATGGGTCGGCAGGTGGTTTCGTTGTCTTCTGCGGGAAAAGCAGTGCCCTCTTCAGAGCTTTTTTTTGGGGTGGCAATCCCTTTCCGACTCAACCATTGAAGGGGACATTGGCTACTGGCCCAAGGAGTCCGCTTCGTTTCTGTCTCTTGTTCCTTGCTCCCAGCTTGTTTTTCATTTTGCTTTTGTCCCGCTCCAGTTGTCTGGTCTGTTTTGTTTGGTCCCGTAACCTGTTCTGTTTCGTCCCTGTTCCTTTTGCATCTTTTGCCTTTCCTTTTGCATTTTACAGTTGCTGAATGAGTTGCTCTGACACGACGTGACCACTCTCTGGAGCTGTTACCTCTCTCGTTTGTGTTTCTTAGAGATCTGCCCTTGTTTGCTTTTACCACTGCGCGCACTCTCCTGCAAAGGCATTTTCTTGAAATCTGTGAACATTTCTTGACCCATTTGTCCTTGGGGCTTTTTGACCCAAAAGCCACCGCGCGACCGCCGACACTGGCGGAACACCCTCCCGGGGCCGACGCGCTCGGCAGTGTTTGGAGGCAAATATCCTGCACTCTCGGAGAAAGAGGAGCGGTTAGCAACTTGTCATGCGGTCCAGTCGCAGGTTTTTGGGTATGGGTGACGACCCTTCTTCTAAAGAAGGGACCGCCTACCCAGATTGATCAGCCTACCCACTCCCAGCTTGTGCTCCCCCGCGCAGTAGTACCGTGCACCGTCGCTTCGTGCACGGAGGCTTTTTGGTTTTTGACAAAGGCTCGGTTTGTTTTTGCCATGATCTGACGAAGTGGAGCAAGATCCAAAGCTTGACAGCTCTTTTTCAAAGAACTTCTATGAACTGTGAACTGGTCCCTACTACTGAGCAGCTGTGTGCTTCAAAAAGAGGTTGATGCCTCGGGAGAATATCACAAAAATCACAGAAAGCAAATCTTTCCATTTGGTTTCTTTTTGGTTTCTAAGGCTACCGGCTCGACCGAAGGCTGCTCGAAGGTTAAAAGCAAGGTCTTTTGGTTTCTTTCGCACCAAAGGACACAGGACTGATTCGGGTCTTTGTTTACAACCGAACCGACCTCGACTCGTGAACTCCGAACGGATGGGATGGGTGGGTTGAGCGATCCCAGCTCTGCGCTTGGTCACTCAGGCAATCCCACTACAAATCCTATGCCAGGCCATTTTTGCCGCTTGGGTGAAGACGTCAGGACCTTTCTTTTCGTCTTTGTCCCGAATAAAAGCTAGTCACTAGTCGTACAGCTAGTTTCTTTGGGTGTTTAGGCCACTGGAAGCTGGTTTTCTTGGGCAGTGGCATGAATCTGATGAGGTACTCACCGGTGTTCTATGAGTTTTGGCGGAGTGTCCATGTTATGCGCACGAACCCACGACGTGTCACATGTTCAAGAGATCGTGTAGATCGCGTGTGCCTTCTTGGTTGGCTCAGGATGCTGTTCTGGTGCATCTCATGCCTCTTGGCACAATTGGTAAGCACCACGAGTTTCTGAGCAAGCACCTTTTTGCGTCCTGAGCAGCTCCCGAGTAGACGGTGAAGTGGTGCTTCAGTGGTGCTTCAAATAAATTAGCCGTTCTTGTAAGCAAGTTGTACAGATCTACAGATCCATACATGGACTGTGCAGGCTTCATTGCTTTGGAGCACCTAGCAGATCAGGGACATTGACTACACACCAGTATGTTTGAGAGTTTGGGGATAGAGCTTTCCTTCTACACCAGCTGGATGGATGTTTCTCAACTCCTGATGGCTTCCTCATCCCTCGTTCCTCGTTCCGTCGACGTGTACGTCGTCCGGCGCTTCGACGTCGAAACCGGCCAGGCACCACTGCTCACCCGACGGAACCTGGCAAGTGGTGAAGAGCCAAATTGGTGACCCGGTGGATGCTGAGCGGACCAGTTCTTTTTGGACCCCCGTTGGGGAGATAGAAACTGAAACCCGGCCTGTAGAGAATTGTATTGGACTTATTGGACTGATACCAAATTTCTTGGAAGTCGACTCGAAGCGAACTTCTAGATTCTAGAATTGTATGGGGCTATACAAAGTATCGCAAGATGAAAAGCACCGAAGGTTACGGTAAGCATCGAAGGTGTGCTCGAAGTCGGACGCCAGCTTGACCCATGGATGGCTAAACCGAATGTTGCCAGCGGTCGACCGGAAGAGATGGTACCAAAACGAACTTGGTGCATGTATCATCAGAAGACCAAAGAACCATGCGAGCAGATAGGAGCAGATGGATGGAGCAAACCCATGGGTTATGAGCGCATTTTGGTCAACCTTCACCTCAGTTCTTCAGCCGCATCGCGCGTTTTTTGAGGTGACCATTTGTACCGGTGCAAGGCTCAACGAACGATGGAGATTCTGGAGACGAAATACAGCACAGCTGCTCAGCTTGCAATACGAGTCTTGGAATATGGCCTGAAATCCAGCGAAATGCAGCGAGCCCTAAAGTCGTCAAGTCTTTTACTGATGTTTGCTGCCCAAGACTTGATTCTTCAAAGAGATTTTCTCAGATGGTCAAGTGTTTGGCGTATTCTGCTAACAGCCCTTCGCATCACCGATCCAGAACACAAATCCAACGAAAGCTTTTGGCAGAACCGCCAAAGAAAACACTTCAAGCCAAATCTGACTTCTAGCCCTGCACATGGCAAGTTGTTTAGGCACGTCACTTCCAGCCGCGGCGCAACGTGACCTATATCAGTTGGTCGTGGGCAAAAAGGATCAAGACGTCACATCCGCTCGTCATCGCTTCAGACGTTTTCGTGACTGGAGGTTGATGTTGTCTTCCTCCAAGAGGTTGCCAGCAACTTCTGTGACTTCTTCCAACGCTCTGCCCTAGCGCAGAGCTTCACCTGTGTGCTGCCTCGGAGCATGGATGGGAAGCGCGATCAGCTCCTTGGCCAAGGCGGCACAGGAAGCAGCCATGCCAATTCGGGGGCTGGTTGATCTAGATTCGGGCACCACTTCCATAGAGTTCCATGGTCCATGCCCACAACGTTGCAAGTTCCTGCCTGCGTTTTGGACGTTTCTTGTTGAGTTGATCATCATCTTTGGTGGGTCCTTTGTAGATTCGGTGTTAGCAGATTCCCTTCGCAGTCAGCATTTTACTGGGGCAGCAGGGGCAACCCGTTCAAAAGACATCCTTCTGTCAGATGCCCTGCTCAAACTTTGGGGTTTCCAGGACCTGTGGCTATGAGAGTTCGTTTCCAGAAGATTCATGTGCAAAGCCTTTGTAACGACATGGCACCTCTGTAACGACTGGTCACTTTCCGACCTCTCTCTTGTTCAGCGCTTCGTTGAGTCGTGATCGAAGACCTTGGACTTCCAAGGAACTCTCTTCTCCTGCTTTCGACCCAGTTCTTTGAGCCCCAGATCCAGGCATGCCGAGCTTCGGTTCCGCTCTTCTTCACCGGTTCTTTCTATGTTTTTTTTCCACTTATGCCGGACATGTTGGGTGCTTTTGGAGCATCACAGAGGGAACTCCCCGTTTTGGGTCCATGCGACACTTCCCATCCGTGCGGTAGGATGTGACCTCGGTCATTGAGGAGTCAATGGAGGATGGCGTGCCTTGAGATGAAGACACCGATGTGCCAGTTTCAGAGTATATATATATATATCTATGACTCTGGCATGTCGTGCTAGCTGTTTCACATGGTTCATTTGGGTTTGGTCTCATGGGTTTGGTCTCGTGCAAACTGCATCCGCATTAGCTCGCATCTGACACAGCCGACCTCGATGTGCCTGTCTCGTTGGCACGATCGCTCAGCCGCTCCGCTCAGGTTCGCTTGGTGAGCAGTGATTTGGTGGCCGTGCTGGCAAAGGGTCGTGATCAGAGGCGGGCGGGCGCAAAGCAGCCATGTTCCAATCTCACATTCCCAATGAAAAAGGACGGAAGAACAGGGGAACCAATGAACCAAACATGTTTGACCTGAAATGCTTGTTTGGGTGATTTAATTAAGAGAGCCCCCAAAGCCAACATTGGCTGATGTGAACCTCCCTCGTATGAACGACTGATTGAGGTATATGACTGACGTACACACCGTTTTGTGTCTATATACGGGTATTAGACACATATGTGTGTTTTGTTTTTTTGCATATTCCTTTTGTTCGTTAAGATCCACATTGTTTTCTTGAGGTCCTATTTGCTGGCCTCCTTTCACGGAGACACCGCTGGCAGAATGACTCTGCCCCTGCTGCGCGCTTTGGTCTCGGCTGCGGCCCAGCGCTACCCGAGGCGCGGTTCGTTTGGGCGTTTTTGAGCACGGTGTGGCGTTGTCCTGGTGAGTTTTGATTGAGATGCAGTCGCAGGTGGTTTGTTTGTTCTTTTCAGTTCCGTTTTGATCCTGAACTGCAGAGGCAGGGGGGGCTCTCTTGAGGCAGGTAGGCTGATTCCCGATGACAGTTTTGGAGACTTGGTGAAGAGAGCTGCTGGAAACAACAGGCACATCTTGATTGTGGGCATGGATGCCAACAGCTATGACCCTGCGAAGGATGAACAGCTGCCTTTTACCAGGCTTATTGAAGCTTGGAGGAGAACCAGGGAGCCTTTCTTTTTTTTTTCTGAAATTTATGAAGATAGATACGTCAAGAGCCGGTTGTTGAGGGGCACTCAACAGGTCTGCACGCACTTTAGAATCTTGGCCTCTAAGACTCTAGACTCTAGACCTCCAAAACTGCATATAGAGTCGAATCTACTTCTGATGGAGGGAGCTCCTTGACAGATTCACCCAGATGACCATGTCGTTTGAACACAGTCCTAAGGCAGAGGCTGGACCAGCGGGACTCAGGGTGGCAGATGGATCTTTGTTGGATGACTGATGGCGCTTACTTCGAAGTGCTTTCAGCCAATAGAGCGAGGTGAGAAGAGTTCAATACAAGGCTGATGCTGAAGTTGAAGAATTATCCATGGAACCATTCAAGTTTTGGAGCTAAAGGCTATGGGCGGCTTCTTGATGAAAAGATAAGAAAGGGCTTTGTCGTCGTTGGGTGTTGTAAGAGACCGTCGGCTCCCAATTCATGGGGCTACCTCTGTGGCTTCCCCAGCTGCTTTGGAGCATCAAGCTGGTTGAAGAGGGCTGATGACCATCGAAAATCGCATTCCTCCGCGTTTGGCGATGGAAAACACTTTCCGGGCAAAAAACCCCACCTCAAAAGCCTGCCCGGGCTGTCCTCGCCTTGGCCGGCGTACTCAGCGCGGAGGGTCCGCTCTTTGAGACCCGATGTTCCGACGGAGAGTGGCAGGTGAAGACACTGGGCCTCACCACGTGCTGGGGGGAGGACACTTGGCTGAACGGGGCTGAAAAGGACACTCGCTGCATCGGTGCAAGGGCACGTGGAAGCAGACCCTCTACACGCCAACCCGATTCCGCAGCATGTTGTGGAGATGTCCGGTGAAGCTGGGTGTTTTTGACCAACCACGCAACACATCGATGCCTTCCATCACAGGAATCCATTTTCCTGATTTTGGGCAACCGGATGACCGCCCTTCCAGGATCCGGACCGGATGAGCTGCAGAACCACCTGTTGTGCGCGCACCTCCTTGCAGCCTCAGCTGAATAAGGCCCGCATCCGTCCGCGTTTTCCGTCGCTGGAGAGACACTACTGGCTAGTGGGCTCCAGCATCAAGGCTCCAACAGAACATCCGGCAGCGGCGCCAGCACTGAGCCTCCAAAGCGCACACGACGGCACCTTTTTCCTATACTTGAAGTAAGAACCCCAAAAGCTCTCGGGCGTTGGGCGGGAACAAACTCACCACTGAGTTTGGAAGATTACAACGTTTGGGCCTTTTGGCACCGGTGTTTGCCAGTAGTTTCCCTGGCACTTGGCAACAGTTCGGGTTCTTTGCATGACCACGCACGCATATGAGGTTTAGGGAGTGGAGCAGGGTTGTTCTTGAACTCTTAGCTGACCTGGCCATCAGGCGATCAGCTACAAGGACTGTGTCTCACAGAGCCCCTTGGCAGACCTTCAAGGGCGGGAAGTCTCAAGCGAAAAACCTTTGAGCTGAAGCAATTGAACCATCGTTTGGGGTTACAACCATGGTTTCCTGTAGATGTTCCCTTTAACCAATCCATTGAAGATCACAAACTCAAAAACCTCCTGCTGAAGCATTGATGGAGGAAACTTGGATTTGTCATCATGAAGATGTGTCAGAGACGATGGGAAGTTGAAGGGACTTGGAGGTGCCCAAAAAACATCAACCAAGCATCAAATCAAGCGTCGACGCGCCTCAATGCACGCTCCAAGGTGATCGAAATCCAAAGGATTTGAAGCTGAGCAAAACTGGAAGGATGTGACCTGTGGGTGGGAAGGATGCGACTCTAGAACTCTCATCTCTCTCTCTCTCTCTCTGTCTCTCTCTCTCTCTCTCTTTCACTTACACAAAACGCTGAGAATAGGGTCGCACCATGTACGTGTGAATAGGGAGGCCCCTTTAACTGGTGGGGTTTGGTCGATAAATGTTTCTCTTTCGAAGGGTCTTGGGTGGTCTCCCTGTTTCCATACACACCCATAAGGGGTCAACTATTTGTCATGGATTGTGCACATTGCGTCTGAGGATCACTTTCAATCGGCAACAGCTGCGGTTGCTCAGCCCACAAGAGGTGCCCTGGTTGAGTGATGGTGTTTGGGCCGGCTGGCAGACACGGTCTTTTAGAAAGACTTGTGATTGATGACAACCCAGGCAACACTTGTGGGGCACATGATTGAGTAGACTCGACATGCCCCGGTAAGCAAGCTTCAAGAGCTCAACAGCTGTCTACGAAGTCTAAAGGCCAAGTTTCACCAGAGTTTATGTGTTTCCTTAATGTGCACTCACCCAATTCTGAGAGGCTTGAGGTGACAGGTGACGACTTTCAGTGCAGCTTCTCAACTGAATCTCGAACACGCTTCCTGATCCCGCGCCCCGTTCTTGGGGCATTTGGCTGGTGGAAAATCACTCATCAAAGACCTCATGATTGAGGAAAAAACATGAACCTTTTAAGAAACAAAGACCTCAAAAGGACTTGCTCATACCAAATCCAATTCAAGAAGGCTAATCTCTTCCAGCTTCGCCTGTCCGGAAACCCAGCTCCGACTGGCTCCGACTGGCTCCGGTGATGGTTCGGAGGTCGGTCAGCCGAACCCGTTGAAAGACAACACGGGGCAGCTGCACTACGAGGAGTCCATGAACTTCCCAACCTTCGTCGCTGGGCGCAGAAGAACGAACGGGACTTGTGCGACAAGACCGGACCGGGACGACGGTCGGAGGGAAGACCATGAAACATGGGGGTTTTGGGGGCGAACACAGACACTCGACTCGGTGATCTCGTTGATTGGACCGAATATGATTTCATCATTTCATCTACTGTACTTGGTTTTTCATTTTTTTTCTTTTTGAGGTGTCCTCCTTGCCTTGATATTGATGTGTGTGTGAGTTTGTCTTTTTTGAGGGATGCTACATCAGGTTTAAGGCTTTCAGCACAGCAACTCCCCCTAATCTCAGGACTTCCCCTCAGACCATGCCATCGTCGCCGCCTTGCTCCAGCAAGTGGCGTAGCTTCTTCATTGCCAAGGACCTTATCAGGTTCCGTTGCACGTGTATGCGTAGGCTGTATCTGTATCAGGATTTGGTTGAAACACATCAATCAGCTTGAGTGTTTGAGTTGAAAGGCTCCAGCCTTGACCTGCTCCGCGTGGATAGACAGAAGACTTTCTTGCCTTGAGGAGTGTTGGTGTTCGACCAGTTGCTATGTGAGCTCCTTTTTTTGGGCAGATGCTCCGGCAAGGGCACAAAGAGATGGTAGAGGATTTGTAAACATTGATTGAACTAGACCCTCCTAGACCTTGATGAGTTCATGTATCAAAAAGAACGTCAAAACCCAAAAGACCCCCAGAAAGCAGGTGACTTCCCCACACAGTTCGTGGTTTTCTGCCCGACCGGTCCAAAGCGATCGGGGCTCAGCACCGGGGGTCCAAAGGTTGGCCCCTCCGGACCGTGGCGCACCGAGAAAGGCACCGACTTGGCCGGGCAAGAGGTTCAGAACGACGTCGACCCTCCAGGTCGATAGAGGTGAAGACGTGGTTTTGCTGCTGAAAGTCTTCCAAAGTTTAGATGCTTCCAGAAATGGTCGTGGAATGTCGTGGAACCCTATTTAAAAACAACCCGAAGAACTTGCTCCAGACAGGCGGAGATCGCATGGTGGTTGAGGAAAACACATCGGGCTCCATCGGTCTGTCCCGTTGAAGCGATCGGTCTGTCTGGTGCGCCAGGCTCAGCTCGAGCCAGGTGCGGCGCGTCGATCGGGGAGCTTGATTGAGAAGATCAGCGACTTGAGGAAGATGGAAGGTCCCAACATGTCCCAACACAACTAGAATCATAAGTTGTATCAAATTGTTGGAATTACTCTTTTTTGTTGACAAGATGTTACAAGACAAAGCCAGACCTTCACAGCCTTTCCTGGCTCATCAAGGTTCTGAAAAGAGTCAGACTGCTTGAGGTCATGATTGGAAGGGAAGACACTTGGTGTTTGCCTTGCCTCGCTTGGACATACCAATACCATCCATGGAAGCCATGCTGCTGCAATGCACTTGTTTGCGCATCACCAGACCATGCTGCCTGTCCGCGTAGCTCTGACTTGGTTTACAAGCTGACAGCAAGCATCACTGCATGAGGATTCTTGACATGATCAGAACGCACACCGTCACCAAGCTCTCTCAAGCACTTTCAGCTCCGACGCGAGCTTGACGTTCACGCTAGGGTCCCCACCCGTGTCCCAAATCAGGACTGGTTTCCCAAGCCTTGGGGCACGAACGAACACCTCCTTCACCTCATCTCTATGCCGACACAGATCGACCTGGATGGTCCCCCCCGAACGGTCTAGTCGCCTAGACTCGAACACTGGGCGGAGCAACGAGTTGGGGGAAGAACTGGTCTAGGCTCCCGGATTGGCTGCGCGGTGCCCGTGACGGCGGCGAGCTCATGATCTTCACGTGCCCTTCGCTGTGATGCAAGAAGCGTCAGACCTGTGGGATTTCCTGTGGGGAGGCTCAGTTGGAGTGGTTGACATCAGCTCTTGGCGTTTCCACTTGTGAATGGGCAGTGCTTGCTGCCCAGGTCTCAAGATGTTTGACTCAAGAGTTGACCTGCAAGCTTCTTTCACGTCAATCCACTCGCACTTGACTGATTTGATACAACTTACCGATCTCCAAAGCCCCTCAACCCGAAACCTTCCCGTTTGACGTAGCTCCGGAACCTGCCCCACCTCCCTTCACCTGCGGATCCGAGCCCAGGCGCCGAGGCTGCTGGGGGCTCCTGGCAGCCTTGGGACGGGTCTCGCTGACCTCGCTCCTCGGAGCGCTGCTGGGCGCTGTGCTGGGCGCCGGCCTGAGCTGGGACCCCCAACACCGACCCCGTCCGTTCGACACGGTCTGAGGGGCGGTTTTGGCCCCGGGGGGGGGCGAGGGAAGGACGCTGTTCCAGCGGGTTGGGCGGGGGGGGCTGGGGGGTTGGGCGAAGGGCGCGAAATGTTGGTTGGGCTGAAAGGCGAGGGGCGAAAGGCGAGGGGTGAGTGACTTGTGCCAAAAACAGGATGAAGTTGGTCCAAAGCAGTTTTCTCTTGAAAGCGAAACATACCAACCAAGCTGCAAAAAGAGCAGCTCGGCCAAATTCATGATCTGGCTCAACCCTACAGACACTACACTCATCCTGGAGAAGACCCCAGGAACCTCAAAAATCATCCAAGAAACCTCCAAAACCACCTCAAACCACTTGATGTCTGAGAGACACTTGGTGTTTTCTACACCCGGGCCGCCCGGCCGGCGCCCTCTGCGGCGCGCTTGGGCGCCCAGGGTTGCTGGGCGCTCCGGTGACCTTTGGCGGGTCGCTGCTCGTCACACCGCTCCTCGGGGCTCTTCTGGGCGCCAGCGTCGGGGCCTTCCGCTGTCTCAGGCGGGGGGTGTTCGTTAGACCATGGGCGGTAGGGAAGACTTACAATGGAGGGAACAACACCCGCAATTGGCTGAGCCGTAGACCAGATCTCCACATTCTGGTTCGCTGGACGTATCACTGATGCATGTTCGGTGGCTCTGGTTCGCCCAAGGCGCTCGCTTCGCTCGCAAGGTACTATGCAGGGGTCCTTGAGGCACTGATGCTCTACCATCCCAGGAAGAGTCGTGTGTGGAACCCCGGCCTTGGGTTTTGATCCACCAAACCCGACTTGTCGCCACAGCTGGGCATTTGAGTCTTGTCCTCCTCCACAGCGCGTGCTTTTGGGCTTGGCTGTCCCAAAGCTTGGGAATGGCAGCTGGATGGACAATGAGAATCCCTTCTATACCAAGTCCATCCGAAACTGATGATGTCTTCTTTCTCACCCTTTTGGTCAGCATCTATTCGAGTCTTCCTTTTAGCTGCCACGCAAGCAATGTTTTACTCCCATCCTTGTGACCATGACTCGAATCAAGTCTGGCTTGCGTGTGACGTCAACCAATCTCATGAGGACGTGTCCTTCATGGATATGTCTTGGCAGCTGGGCGATGTAGAGCGGCTTGACAAGACTTAGACTTGAGGTTTGGATGTTTGGAGAATTCATCATCTCCAATTCTCCAAGAAACATGGAAGTGGGCAGCCTTTTGGAGATCGTTTTTCTACACAGATAGGTTTCCAACTTCCACGATTGTTGGAGAGAGTGCAGGTGTTGACCAACCTGCCGCTGCAACCCTCCTACTTGGGGACCAGCTTCATGTGAATTTGGGTCGATAGTTGGTACTCATCAAGTAGTAGTCAAGTGATGTTGCTGCCAAGTTACTGCAGTTGGTCGCCTTCCCTTAGCTTGGAAGCAGCCAAAGACTGAACGAACATCTCGGACCAGGTATTCCATCCAGATGGTGTCATACACCCTTCCCAACGTGGGGCCGCAAGTGTCATACTTGCTCAGACCTTCAGGCAGGACGGCCAGGGCGAAGGGTGGAACGGGTCGGGTGAGTTGCATGGATGTCCTTTGCCCACCCCTGATGCCACTTGTTTCGGGGACTTTGATTCAACCGTTTTATCTTTCTCCAGTTCTGTGTGTGCAGTGCAGTCTACTTTGCTGTTATTGACGACACTTGGTGTGTGTGTGTGTGCCCCTTGTCGTCACAGGGATTCTTTTGAATTGTGAAGGAATGACACTCACAAATCTTGAAGTGTACCACGATGTTGCAGTGTAAAGGAATGACACGCACAAATCTTGGTGTGTTTCACGATGTTGCTGTGCACTTGTAGTCGCAGGGATTCTTTTGAATTGTTTTCTGCTACTATGAGCAGGGGACAGGGATTCTTTGGATTGTTTTTCTTTATATAAGCAGGGGGCCACCGGGGCCCCAGAGGAGCGGTGGCCAACGAAGACCTCCTCTGGGGTCCGTGTAAACGTACCTGCCAAACTGGTTACCTGTTGTTCTCGCTGTGGTTTGCTTTCATGGTGGTTCATGTGGTTCTGTTACTAATCGCTACTCGCGTTTCGTGTTTTGAGTCTTGCTGGCCTCCAACCTTGCAGTAAGGGCCTCCACTTACTGACACCTGTCCTGGTTCCTTAGGTCACTCAGGCCGGCGTGTGGCACCGCTGTCGAGTCAGTATGCATCTCCATAAGTGTGTTTGGCCTTGTGCCAGCCCGGGATGAGCCCGTAGAGTGCCTCCCGTGGACCCTTCGAACGGGTGTCTGTCCATGTTTCCCGGCTTGGGAACGTAGGTGTCCGGAGCGGACAGCAGGAGGCTTATGCCAAAGTTATTTGATGTTATTTGCCAAGACTTGTCGGATTATTGAATTCCAAGATGGCTCATGCCTTTACGTGACCGCAGCGGTCAAGCAGCCAGCCACTTTGGCAGGGCACAAGGTGACCACAGCGGTCAAAGTACTTCTGAGGTTCGTTGGAACCTGTCGAGAGCTTAGTCCCCCTCCTCCCCCTTCCCTCCCCCTTTCTTTCTTTGCTTTCTGGGGTTTTCCTGAATGGAGTACTCAGGATCACCCCTCTCTTTCTTTGGTGTGTCCCTGGACGACTGTTCGTAGCTGGGAACACCTGCCTTTTTCCTTTTCTTTCCTCTCCCTTTCTCTCCCTCTCTCTTTCTTTCTTTCCTTCCTTTCTTTCTTTCCTCTCTTCACCTTCCTTCTTCCTTGGGTGTCCCTGGATGCTTTCGTCATAGCTGGGAACCCTTCTCCTCTCTTCTTTTGGTGTGTCCTTGGACGCTTGTGTCGTAGCTGGGAACACCTTCCTTTCCTCTCTTTCCTTTTTCTCTTCTCTTCTCTCCCTACCCCTCCCTCCTGTCAGGACCTTAGAGTGGGATGCTACTAGGGGCTCCTGGCCTTCATACTAGGTGCTCGGACGCTACTTTGACGCTACTAGGGGTTCCTTACTACTACTCGGCCCCTTGTAGTCACAGGGATTCTTTTGAATTGTGAAGGAATGACACTCACAAATCTTGAAGTGTACCACGATGTTGCAGTGTAAAGGAATGACACGCACAAATCTTGGTGTGTTTCACGATGTTGCTGTGCACTTGTAGTCGCAGGGATTCTTTTGAATTGTTTTCTGCTATTATGAGCAGGGGACAGGGATTCTTTGGATTGTTTTCTTTGTATAAGCAGGGGGCCACCGGGGCCCCAGAGGAGCGGTGGCCAACGAAGACCTCCTCTGGGGTCCGTGTAAACGTACCTGCCAAACTGGTTACCTGTTGTTCTCGCTGTGGTTTGCTTTCATGGTGGTTCATGTGGTTCTGTTACTAATCGCTACTCGCGTTTCGTGTTTTGAGTCTTGCTGGCCTCCAACCTTGCAGTAAGGGCCTCCACTTACTAACACCTGTCCTGGTTCCTTAGGTTTTTCACTCAGGCCGGCGTGTGGCACCGCTGTCGAGTCAGCACGCATATCCATAAGTGTGTGTGTAACCCTTGGAGTCACAGGGATCCTTTCGGATTGGTTTTTCTTGAGCTTTGAAACAGCAGGGGGTGCAAGCAGCCTATCCAGTCTTGCACCAACGGGGACACTGGATATGCGCTGGAGATATCGATTTGGGACGCCAAATCGACGTACCTGCTTGATGATTACTTCAATTTACGGGCCCCTGCTTGTAACTAGAACAAGACCCTTCTCCTGGCTTCGGTCCTGCAGTAAAGTGCTACTGAACCTTTGCTCACCCCGGTTTCTTAGGTTTTTCACTTAGGCCGGCGTGTGGCAAGCCGCACCGAATCCTTACGCATTTCTATAAGTTTGTCTGACCTTCGTGTCAGCCCAGGGTGACCCCGACGAGTGGCCCCTGTGGACCCGTTGAACGGGGGCTTGTCGTATCCCCTGCCTTGGATACAGAGCAGGTCGCAGCGAGCGTAGGTGGCTTACGCCAAAGTTATTTGTCAAGACTTGATGGATTATTGAATTCCAAGTAGGCAGTCTCCGGACATGCCATGAGGTGACCAGAGCGGTCAGCAGTAGGCAGCCTTCGGGCACGCCGCTACGTGGTCGCAGCGACCGAAGTTTGTTCAAGGCTCATTGGAGCCTGTCACACTCTTAGGTGCGCGCGCAGCGTATACATTCAAACGAGGCAAGGTCTGCCTAGGTGTTTCTATTGAGGTTTGGCTTCATCGGTTCTCGTCCCCTCCAATTGGTTCCCTTTTCATCCTTTCCCCTTCATGCACATTTGTGTTTCCTCTTTTCTTTCATGTCTTCCTGTCTTCATGTTTTGTCATCTCATCTCTTTCTTTCTTTTGCGCGCACACGGCCCGGCCCTTAGTATGTACGCGCACAACCTACTTCAACCAGGTTTCAGGTTGCCTAGGTCTTTACAATGAGGTGGGTTTTCATCGCTTGTCCCTGTGCACTTGGTTCCCTTTCATCGCAACCACATACACCTTTGTCGCGTCTCGTCCCCCTTTTCATGTCTTCACTCTTTTGTTTTGCTGCGCGCGCGCCTACACATTCGCCCTGGCCCTAGCGCTTCTCGCTTCCCACTACCACACCCCAAACGATCTAAATACCAGCGAGGTAGATCGCTCACACACACAACACTTGCACGCAAGCCAAATTTAGAGAAACCTGACAAACAATCATCTGGACACACTCGGGAAAATGCGTGCAGAAATGGTTTGCGGTTTGCCGCACGCCAGTCTAAGTAAAAAAACCTCAGGTACCACGGCAAAGAAAGTCAGAGAAAGTTGGAGGCACCGCATCTAGATTGGAGGCCATCGCATCCAGGTGGGAGGCCATCGCTAGTAGGTTGGTTGGCCATCGCTAGTAGGTTGGTTGCATGCCATTGTGGTGCGCAAGACGCACGAAGCGCAAGTTACATGTTACATTACCACATGAACCGCATGAAAGCAAACCACAGCGAGAACAACAGCTAACCAGTTTGGCAGGCACGTTTACACGGGTCCCAGAGCAGGTCTTCGTTGGCCACCGCTCCTCTGGGACCCCGGTGGCCCCCTGCCTCATTACACCAACAGGTGACCTTTGATTCCATGGTATTCACACACACTTATAGAAATGCGTACGGATTCGGTGCGGTTTGCCACACGCCAGCCTAAGTGAAAAACCTAAGAAGCCAGGGTGAGTAAAGGTTCAGTAGCACTTTACTGCAGAACCGAAGCCAGGAGAAGGGTCTTGATCTAGTTACAAGCAGGGGCCTGTAAATTGGAGTAATCATCAAGCAGGTACGTCGATTTGGCGTCCCAAATCGATATCTCCAGCGCATATCCAGTGTCTTCGTTGGTGCAAGGCTGGATAGGCTGCTTGCACCCCCTGCTGTGACAAAGCTCAAGAAAAGGATCCCTGTGACTCTAAGTCCTACACACACACGCCTTGCCTTTTGGCTTCACTTCTTTATAGTTTCTCTTGGCCTGGGTTAGTGTGGGGTTCACTTCTTAGGATTCTTTAGGGGTTCATTTCTTTCGGGGTCCTTTGGGCTTGGCTCAGTGACTGGAGGCACACAGGGAGGAGTGCTTGGTTGGCTGCTTGCTAGCTTGCTCCCTGCCTGAGCAAACCGTACTGGAGAACCAACAAAAGTGTAAAACAAGTCCCCGAAAAAAGAGAACATCATTCCCTGAAACACTGGATACCCCACTCCTGTGGCTATCCCTGACACATCTCTGAAGTTGAACATGACATGTGGTTTTGCTTGTGAATTGCGATGAGTTCGCAGCGGGAAGCAGGTCGTGTGGAGACCTTGTGGGCCTTCTTCGGTGGGAACGCCATGCTGGCGGTGGACTGGTTGACCTTCTTTGACAAGGTCGCGCGGCGATGATGGGGACGTTTGATGATACTGATACTGAAAGGGCTGTAGGACTAGGAACCACTCTGACTCACGTCGCCTTTGGTTTGCTCAGGCCCTTTTAAGTGGTCCTCACTGCATAGAGGACTCATCCAGCACCATCACTGGGTGACGGGGGTGAGTGGTTGAGGGGCACAACGTATATGTATATATATATATATATGCAGACTTGATGCGAGAAGATGCCCTGTTGGACCACTGGACAACACCTCACCGACCTCACCCACTAAGCCGTCACTTTCAGGGGCAAAACTAGGCAATCGACTCTCGTCTTGGTGAGAGAAACACCCCACTGCTTCGATGGCTCAGGTCCTGACTCATATGGGTGAGCATCAGAAGCCGAGGCAACAAAACGGTGCACGAAACGTCGTCCGGTTGTGTTTCTTCGCATACGAAGCTGCTTAAATTACGATAATGACTTCACGCCTGGCCGATCAAAACCACTGCACCACTGTCTTCCTTCGTCTGGGGAGAGAGCACCTTGTCATTCATCACACTTGCAACTGTGCGGTAATTGTTTTGATTTTTCCTGAGTGGATGCACGCTAGGCACGATGAAACCAGCACCTGCGTTGATCTGAACCTATTCTGCACCCGTCTGTGCCCTGATTTTGGTGGATATTGGTGGTATCCTCTTTTCTCACGCCCTTTCGTCCGCATCTCGAGCACCAGGACCACTGTTGCCTTCCTCTTAGTCGACTACCCTGGCTACGGCCGCAATGCAGGACTGCGTGGCATGTGCGTGGCGCGTGTGGCGCGTGCGTGGTGCGTGGCCATCATGGACGGGGGAGGGTTTGGCAGTTTCCAGTTTGGAGGACCAAAGAAGGCCCACGCGTGCGGGGTGTCATGGCATGGAGATTTGGGCAACGCGAGTCAGGTTGCTTTGTGTGTGTGGTGATTGACTGTTTGCACGTGGGCCCAGTGGGCTCAGTAGCCGGCTGGTATGGATTCGTGCACTTGTGGAACTGAAACTCTGGATATTTTTCTTGGCAGCCGGCAGTGGCGGGTACTTTGTTGTCATTTGAGTTCTTGTTGCAGTCGAGGGACCTTAGAGTGTTTAGAGGGCAATAACGACTGTGGTGCTGCCGCGCAGCGGGGCAACGAGCAACTACATTTATATATATATACAGTATATTATATACATTGATTGATTGATTGCTTGCTTGCTTGATTGATTGATTGATTGATTGATTGATTGATACATACTATAACTGCATCTAACTGCTAGATGTACCACATGTACTGCAATTAGATGTCCTGTGCCTATTGCATGCATATTCATGTGGTTGATGGCCACCGTTTGGCTCCATTCTGGCGCCGCCACTGCGCCGTGCTTTCAGGAGAGCCTTCACCCGAGCGTGTGCTTGAAAGCTCCAAACTGGCACTGGTGGGGGGGGCCAAATGCATTAAAGGGAAAATGCAGACGACTGAGGGGGGGTGAACAAATAAACGATAATATATATATATATGGTATGGTATGGTATGATATGGTATGGTAATGTATGGTATGATATGGTATGATATGGTATGGTAATGTATGGTATGGTATGTAAAGTAATGCAATGTAATGTAACATAATGCAAGCATGTATGCATGTTAGCATACCGTTTTTAACGTAGGGTTGCCCCTTTTTCTTCTACCATATCCGCGGTAAAAACGGTAAAAAACAAAAGTTTTCCAAGTGATGTAGGCTTTCATTACCCTGCAAAAGTCAAACGTCATAAAACTTTAACCAAACATCAAACTCTTCTTGTTGAAAAGGGCACACGCTCCTATATGATAGGAGGGGTCAACCCCACCAGATTCATAGGAAGATACTCAAAGGCTGTAACATTAAACCTTTTGTTTACAGAGCTCTTCTAGCTTGCGACCTGTTCCCGAGGCATCCTCGCGGTAAAAACGCTAAAAATTGAAAATTACTATTTTTGTTGTTACCGTTTTTAACGGAGAGTCGCTCCTTTTTCTTCTACCATATCCATGGTAAAAACGGTGAACATCAAAGTTATGTTATTTCCGTTTTTACAGGGGGACTCGCCCTTTTCCTTTCTACCATCTCCGCGATAAAAACGGTAAATATTGTTTTTTCTATTTTTTACCGTTTTTACTGGGGGGGCGCTCCTTTTTTAATACCATATCCGCGGTAAAAAGAACTGGCAAAATTCAAAAACAGTATTTTTTACCGTTTTTTAACGGAGAGTCGCCCCTTTTTCTTCTACCATATTTGCGGTAAAACCGGTAAACATCGAACAGTTTCTTTTTTTACTGTCTTTTTTTTGCGGCGCGAATGGGTACACCTTAGCAAAACAACGCTCGCGAACCGACTTAGGAAAATGCAGACGACTGAGGGGGGTGAAGAAATAGACGATTATATATATATATGTATGGTATGGTATGATATGGTATGCTATGTAATGTGATGCAACGTAATGTAACGTAATGTAAGCAGTAAGCATGTAAGCATGTAAGCATGTATACATGTATGCATGTATGCATATATGTATGTATGTATGTATGTATGTATGTATGTATGTATGTATGTATGTATGT